GTTTAGAGAAACGCTCGACTCCCAAAGAGACATCTTTTACGGCGTATCCCGGAAGCGTCGTGTTGCCGAAAACGGAAGGAGCATGCGTGCATTTATTGCGGGCGGTTTTGCCGCCCGAGATCGGCCAATTGCCTTTGGGTCATGAGATGGTGCTGTTTGCCACCTGCTCTTTCCAGGCCTTTGCACGCAAGAATGCCGCCCACTCACTCGACGGCATGAACATGCTCGTTACCGGTTGTGGGCACCGACAGTCTCACCCGAGGCGTAAGGATGGAACGCACCAGACGCTGCGCGTGAAGCAGCACGAGAATGTTGCCGAGAGAAAACAATTTGTGCATCCACGAGAAATTCCGTGCGGTTGACGTTTATGCGAGACCCGGTGTCTCTGCCTGTGGCTCCACACAAGGTTCTTCGGTCGTCATACCCGGACAGCGACCAGACTGCCGTCAAAGTGTGCATCATTTGCCTACCCAGTGTTTGTGCATAGGCACCTAGCACACACCTAACAATAACCGTGCGACAAAAAAAAACCCGACAAACTTCCATTTTTGTATTGAGCAACGCAACATCACAGAAACTTCCAGTCAATCGTGACGCAATATTATCGAAATGTTGCACCAGCTGATGCGGTCCATTCACATCCCATTGCACGATCATCCGCGCAATTTCTTCTCGACGCCAGGATGGGACATGGAAGAAAATCAACTTTCCCCTAAAAAAAGAAAGAAAACTTTTTAGCCTTACCTCATGAGACTCATCCTGACTTAGAAGCAAGTCCAAAACTTGCTTCTATTTAAACACGCCGACCCCAAAATAAGGCATGCTTCGGAATCACTTAAATGAATCCCTCAACGTGAATTGCTGCACTCAACGTTTTTGGGGGACGGAAAGCTAATTTTGTGACATATGTAAGTGTCATTCTTGTCCAGGCATTTTCAAAATTGTTTTTTTACCATCTTTACTGTCTCTGAGGGGCGACAGTTTTTGAACCTTTTCCTCATTTATTTGCAGAATTTCTCAATCTTAGTGTGTGCATGTATTTACTCGCATAATGAATGCACCCCCCACCACGGGCATCAATATTCAAACTTTTTTTTTTTTTCTCCCGTAATGAACACACTTAATTTTTAGCTCCGTGAGTCTTGAACTGCGTCTAGCCACCAAGCCCACCAAGCCAATTTTCTTTTGCCGCCAAGCGGTGAGGTCAAGTCAAGCCAAGTCAAGCTGCTCTTCTAATGGCTGCAATTGAGTGGTTGCGGAAGTGATCAACCGTGAAACCGAGTGGTCCGCACGCCTAGCGAAGCTGGGGTCGAAAAATTGCCCAGCCCCGGACGTGCTTCGTCCATCGGATGCATTGGTGTCAACAAACACACCGTCGTTTCTGATCCGCTTTTGGACAGCAATATCGTGAAAGTGGTTAGGCCTAAAAATGGTCGCTTGGCTCTCCGCGCCGAGGGAGATTCGTAGGGCGCTTTTTCTTTGGCAAAAGGCACGCCGAAAACGTCCTAAAAAAGGTTCGCAACTTACAGAGCACCACTAGTGTGGCGCGCCCACAACCAGGCTCTGGCAATGGAGACGTGCCAGAGTACCTCCTTGTCATATTGGCACCTAAAATGATATCCGCGCAAACCATGTAAATGCAAAACTTTTACACCGCGTAATGAACGCACTCCGAAATATGCGTCAATTCTTCAGCAAAAAATGTGTTCATTATGAGAGTAAATACGGTATACTGATTTTGATTCCGACATCAGATTTTAGGTATGTCCCCTTGAATCAAAGATGCAGCAAAGCATCCTAACCGAGTACCTTTTTTACAGGTCGTTACGCACAAATTCTCGTTACAAGAGATCTTGAGCTCTATAAGGGTGTTTCCAAGGTTCCAGCATATACTCTAAAGATAGGTTTGTAGACTGGCTTTATTTACCACGAAAAAAGCGCAACTGGCGACTGGAGACGTAGGATCCTAATTACTCCAAGTAATATGTATCTCTATACTTTTTATTGATTGACTTTAGAAAGATCCAGTTCAGTTACTGCAGGAAATAACAATATCAAGTTTACTCATATCCTTTCTTGAGAATATTACAAAAACTTTAGTAAAGCAATTACATCTACACGAAAGAAAAAAAAAGATACTTGGAACGTCACCTTGAAAACAGCACTGACTAGAACCTACCTAAGCACTGGTGCCGTGCTGTGCTGTATGTGTGAAGGGGCATTTATAATAAATCAAGCTCTTCGACACTCAAAATTTGGTGGTTATAGAAAAGCTCGAGATTGAATGGAGTCATCATATTTTGCGAGCCTGGATTGTTATTGAAACTTGGCGATTTTTAAAAATCCTAAATTTTCAGCCATTTTCTAGAGCTCTGTCTAGACACGACGTTTCCAAATAAAGAAATAAAACTGACCGAATTCTCTGCTCCCAAGATACCAAGTGCGGTACTCTGGACACATCTGGTGGCCCACACCAGGTGAAACAACTCCAAAGCCGCACGAGGGGCACACATCAGCAAGTTTTCAGATAGAGCTAATCCAAGGGGGCTCGCACCCCTGTCGTGCCCCGTAACATGCTCCCTTCCCGCGCCACTACGGCCAAGGAGCAACATTCTCCAAAAAAATGTCAGCTGTTCATGGCCACCGTAGCAGGCTGCTCCTGCCACAAGCACCCAGCCGACCGAGCCAAGGCCATCCACTAGGACTCGTGAGGTGCTGCCGTACGAGCGATTACCGCAGCCTCTCGGGGCGAGGAATGCCAGAAGACTACCGAGAAAGTCGGGCAAGATCACCGCTCGCGACTTAAGCGAGGTAACCCGAAGAGAAAGACTGCTGCCCTCTTATAACTGCCGACAAACGTGGCCAAAAGTGCGGTGGCCACGATGGATTTGCTCCTGAAGACCTGACCCAAGCAGTTAGCGTAAAATTTCGGGGCTTTTGCCAAACACTGGGTACACAGGGGCCCGGGCCAATCGGTAAAAGCCGAGATGGCCGCCTTTGAAGGCAGGGCGCATCGGAGAAAACACATTTTCGCACAATGAATGATGACGGGACACTCTCCCAAGTCAGTGGAGGAGGTCCTTGCTCTGGTTGCAACTAGTTTGTCCCTTTCCGTCGCAAGAAAGCGGATATCCCCATCATCGCCGATGGCAGTTTCATGGCCGCCACATTGGGATGAATATCTTCGGCTCATGCCGGCGCTTCCGAGGGTTTCCAGAATTCCCAAGCTTGGGAAAGTTTACTAGCGGGCACTTGCACAAAGTGGGTGTTAATTTACGCTAGAGACCCCCGTGCTATTTCTCGAATTTTGCGTCACAAGTGAACCCAAAACCCAAAATGCAGCCTACGTTTGGCATATGTGCAGAGATGAGCTTTTCAGGGGCCCCTAAGCCTTTCAGGCCCCTATTTTAAAACTCGGTCCATATTCAACGCATCATTGGCCATGCATCAATCCACAAAGCTCAAGCTTACTGTCGCAGTCAGACTAGCATCTACACACTGAAACACAACATCAAGCGGCGAGAACAAAAGATGGGACGAAGCCGCAGTACGCACGAGCCAGCCTTCTTTGGTTCTTCCTTGAGGTATTGCCCCAGCACCACACACATACAGCTCCAGTACTGCAAATTCACAGAAAAAATCGCATCATCAGCACGGGCATTCAGAATCCGGGTATCAGGGCACAGTATGCTTGAACATGGCTCATGTAGCAAAGCACAAGGCCGCAGAGTTGTCCCATTAAACAACTTTAACATTCCACTATCTCCCAAAAATAACAAACAATATGGAAACTAAAAATGGAGTGCTCTAGACATAATTAAAAAGATCAGAACAATCATTACACCTGTTAAACAGTACTACTATGCATATGGTTACGATGAGTGACCAAGATCACAAAATTGACCGCATCTCAATGATGTTGATTGGGGCGAAGCTCTGGTGGTGCTTGTCTGCGTAGACGGTGAGCCGCAGCATGCCGAGTCTTTCGCTCGTTTTCCTCCATGTCAGAAAGAGAATGTGTGGTATGGAATGTGGTTATATGCGCATTTAAGCATTTGACCGCAGCGCCCTCTCGTCTGTAAACGCTAAGCCAATGCCTGCGAAGTTTAACGCAATTATATACGCATTTGACCGCAGCGCCCTCTCCTCTATAGACATTGAGCGGCTACATGCAATGTTTCATCCATGACAGAAACCCCAGCTCTTGAGTTACTACCATATCTCAGAGCCCCCTACTCGTCCCGCAGTTATGGCCGAGTGGTTAAGGCGATGGACTAGAAATCCATTGGGGTCTCCCCGCACAGGTTCGAATCCTGCCGACTGAGCAAACATTTTTTTTGCATCATTTTTTTTTTATTTTTTGCCCTACACGAGCACCAGCAAGATCGATGCGAGCACGGATGGACGGATGGACGGATGGACGGATGGACGGATGGACGGATGGACGGATGGACGGATGGACGGATGGACGGATGGACGGATGGACGGATGGACGGATGGACGGATGGACGGATGGACGGATGGACGGATGGACGGATGGACGGATGGACGGATGGACGGATGGACGGACGGACGGACGGACGGACGGACGGACGGACGGACGGACGGACGGACGGACGGACGGACGGACGGACGGACGGACGGACGGATGGACGGACGGACGGACGGACGGACGGACGGATGGACGGATGGACGGATGGACGGATGGACGGACGGACGGACGGACGGACGGACGGACGGACGGACGGACGGACGGATGGACGGATGGACGGACGGACGGACGGACGGACGGACGGACGGACGGACGGACGGACGGACGGACGGACGGACGGACGGACGGACGGATGGACGGATGGACGGATGGACGGATGGACGGATGGACGGATGGACGGATGGACGGATGGACAAGGCTAGACCCTAAGGAGCTTCGCCCCTATTAGAATTATACTTCAGGTGGCAATGCTGCACCCACGCCGGAGGGCGCTCGTGTCGAAGAATGGCATGTGGTTCTTTTTCCCTTCACCAGGGCACACCACAGACACTAAGGCCCACCGTCTGTGAGCAACAGTGTTTGCAAGGCTGCAACACTGCGCTGTTTTCCGCAGTTATGACTTTGTTTCTGGCCGATTTCAGGCTACCAGAAACTAATGACAATGGGGGAGAAGTGCTTCGGGCCACAGTAAAACACAGGATCCAAAATATGCACGAAGAAGCTGTCCCTTTTTGCTGCTCCCCAAAAAACAACCACATGAAGGTACGGCATTGAGCGATCTGACGAGGCTTCATCTCCCAGCAACGTTCCGAGCCGTTAGCAAATCGTTGGAAGCAGTCTCAAAGGGCCATGTCCTCGTTAGTGCGTAGCCCATGAAATTTACAAACACATAAAAGAAAATGGGCCAGTGAATAACCGAGATGTATAAAGCAGACGCTACAAGCCATCCAAGTCTCTCCAGGGGATCTAAGCTGAGCGTTGAGTGACAAAGTCGGCGAGAGTTGTGAATGACGCAATTGGCCAGTGCCAAGGTCAAGTGAAACACTGGCCAATCGAGGCAGCCACCAAATTGCCGACCTTCTTGCCGAGTGTCCAGCACTGAGAGCATGTGCCTTTTCATTTTGGCTTTGCCATTTGTAGAGCTCAAGGTCACGTGGTGCTGGACTGGCTGGGTCACTATGGAATAGGTTGCTGCATCGACCACCTCTTGAAAGGAGGGTGCGGGGCACTGTGAAATCGCATCATTACGTCCTACATACAGCGTCTCGGACTGCTCAAACCCATTGACTGGACGGCGAAGAATTCTCTCTTGCAAACCGGCCGCACTAAACATCAAGCCATTTGCTTGACGCCCCTTTCCGTGGCTGTGAAATCAAAGCCATTGACTTCTGTGCACTCGTGCAGCTTGAGTGGCGATCAAAGCTGGACACGTGCACCCTTCGCTTCTAAAATACCACAGAAAGTTCTACCCGAGCATAAACATATTCAGAAAAGGGCTGTAGGCTGGTGCCATTTTCAGCATTGTGATGCGTGTTTTGCTCAGTTTACGAAGCCACAATTGCATGCGGGCTGAGCTGTGGAGATTGCATGCTGGGCTGTGCATTCGTAAACAGTGGAATTCTCGCAATAATTATAAAAGGCCATGAAGAAAGCATTGTTAGCATTTCGATAAGACAGTGAAGGAGTGTACTTGTTTCCTTTTTAATTTTCTAAGCTATATTAGAGCACGTGAGCAGACGCTGATAGATGCTTACACACCGATCCAATGTTGACAAAATCTCAAGCCAGCACACCCTTGTTTGTTGACCAGGAAAGTGAACCAAGCATTCACTAACACACAAATACTGAAGATTGCACCAGCCAGAAGCCATTTGTTTACAAAATGGCTCGTGTAGCAGTGAACAACAACCAGATTCCGATTAGCTGCACTGTTAAACACGAAAAGAAGCTCATTCTATGCAAAGAGAAGAAAGTTGACTCCATTCCCTTGAGCTGCGGCCATCAATAGACCGGCAGATGCACCAATCGCAAACTCTGGGAACATCACAACCAACTTTCTAAGGTCTCGCCACATTCCTATCATCCCATAGTCATACATCCCCGTTCGACCCGTTCGTGTTCGCTTTGTCATCCCCTCTTTGATGAAACAACGATCCTGGGGCGGCATAACAGCAGATTCGGCAGGGAAATCATAGAGTCATTCGCCATGACCCCAGCAAAAGACAACGTGTCAAACCCTTCCCTCCTGCTGACGAAAACTGAGGTTGAATTTCTAAAATCCGAGATAAACCCACCTCTCTGACTTGCTCTTCACGTTTTAGAGCGCAGCTCTTAGGGGCCCGTTCCCGGCTTGAGCGGCGTCGCCGTCGGCGTTGGCGTCGCCGTCGCCGTCGGCGTCGGCGTCGGCGTAACCAAGGTCATCCCAAGGTCACGTGACCCCCAAGGTCACGTGACCCCTCCCAAGGTCATCTCAAGGTCACGTGACCCCACGTGACCCCCTGAAGGTCACGTGACCCCTCGAGGTCACGTGACCCCTTCCAAGGTCATCTCAAGGTCACGTGACCCCAAGATGACCCCACGTGACCCTTTGAAGGTCACGTGACCCCCAAGTCACGTGACCCCTCTGAGGTCACGTGACCCCCGAGGTCACGTGGTCGCCTCCCCAAGGTCACGTGACCCCAAGGTCACGTGACCCCTTCCAAGGTCATCTCAAGGTCACGTGACCCCACGTGACCCCCAGGTCACGTGACCCCTCTGAGGTCACGTGACCCCCCGAGGTCACGTGACCCCTCCAGGTTACGTGACCCCAAGGTCACGTGGGGGTCACCTTTGGGGTCACGTGGCCTTGAGGTCACCCCCAGGTCACGCCTCCCCGAGGTCACGTGACCCCCTCCCCGAAGTCACGTGACACCCCCTCCCGGAGCATATTAAAGAATGAGGGGAGGAGGAGGAGAAGGGGGAGGGGTCTACCCTCCCCTCAGTACCCTTCACTCCTCCTCCTCAAGAGCTGCGCTCCAATTCGGCGTTACAGGGATTTGTAAACGGCTTTCACTTTTTTTTTATCTCCCCTTCCATCCCTTTCCCTCCTGGGTTTAGTCGGCTGATCGCTGTGAGAATTTTTAATTGTCTATTGCTAGTTGAAAGATGCGGTTGTGTTATCCCAGTGTTAAATGTTTATTCTTTCTTCATCCATCACCTGAACCAACACGCTCTTCTACCAATTGTGTAACAGCCCAGTACGCGCATGTTCCTCGCTTCGGAAAGCGAGCAAATTGCGCGCTATGCGTACAAACGCTGAAAACAGCACCAGTCAGAAGCCCTTCTGTGCCTACGGCCGTGACTCCTGCATGATCGGACGCTAATCATTATATATTTGCGCCTAAAAACTTACTTGGATGAGGCAAAGTTTAACAGCGAAATTCGCGCCCGACAAAGATTTATTGTAACGTGCCACCCTGTACTCGCTGAAACCAAACACCATGCGACGAAAAAGCGACAAAGATCGCCGAGGTCGCTACGCACGACCGAGGTGTCGGTTGTCTTGGCGACTCCATAAGTCATGATGCTACGCAAGTGCAAACGCAGACAACCAGCGTGAACAACCAATGCACAACACAATCAGCAATGGTGGTGTTCACTAAATAGAAAGTTTGAACCTGGTATCAGTCCGAAATCAGAACCATGCAGTTCTACGATCCGACTGGCTTTTGCCCTGGGAACAAAATCCAGAATGCCAAGGTCAATAGCAAACAGCCCGTGGCCCGAGCCAACCGCGAGCTGCATACACAGCTTAGAGCAAGTAGTTTGTTCTGGAAAAAATCTGCAACATCTACGGAAGAAAAGCCTACAAACAAATTGCGGGTAAATCACCTTTAAAAGAGTGTGTAATTTATAAATTTTGTTAGCAAACAAGTTTTATGTTTACTACAGTCCAGAACAAGGTCTCAGCAGCCTAGCACACACATAGTACTTCAGTAAGGAACAATGCATACGCACAAAGTCTGAAAATGACACCGACCAGAAGGCCTTCTTTGGAACAGTTAAGAACCTTATATAACACGGATCTCAAACTCATTCGAGTGAGGAGCCAGATAGCCCATTCCTAAAAAGACGAGGGGATTTTGGGACAAAAAAAAAACATACATCCGTGGTGTTTTACGTCGCAAAGCACCCGTGTGTCCCAGCAACACCCCAGAGATTTTCTAGAGAAGGAGCCTCGTGCTTTCTGCTCTTTGCAAGCTCGCCATTTTGCCACCTTTAACTTTCATTTGCATATATGTACCTTGGTCCCACACCTGATGTTAGAAGAAGATTTGAAACACTACCGTACATACAGTTTTCTATACAATGAGAGGAAGCACAATGCCTTTACCTGTTGCTCATCATTCACTATGCTCAAGAGGCATAGAAAAAAATCTCTTCAAACTGCAGTTTTTGTTTTCCTCGGAAATTTTATTGCAGCATTATAAGAAAATGTATTTTGAAAGTATGTTTTTAACATCTACATAGAAGCTTATCGCTTTGAGAGTTGCATTTGCTCAGCACGTGTTCGTAGAGCCGAGGTGGCTCCTTGAACAAAAACCCTTGTAGCCTAGAATGGACCTCTTGGCGAATATGTGCTGCCACCAAGACACGCGACTGGGTTCGAGGCTAAGTGGCGAGAAAACAACGCGCGCGCAAGGCCTCTCCCACCTGTTCCACACCCAAAGCGTCAGCTACATCCCGTTCACCCATTGAGGCGCTGTGACCTAGATATGGCTCCCCCAAACTCGCCTTTGTCCCCATCGTGGGTAATCTTCCGCCCCGAAGTCGACACAACGAAACCATCTTCCCTCTCTGCTCGGCCAGAAGGAAGAGAGAGAGGGTACTGGAACCATTTACTCTCGAACCGATGTTTCTACAAAAGGTCCATTGGCTTTGGCATCCCGGTTGATGTACATGAAAAACGACTGAGAAACAAATATTTACACAAAGTAATACTGCATCTAAAAGAACACGAAAAGTGCAAAATGTGTAAACACATTATATAAGCCGAGCTCCTTTTTGAGCGAAAATGAATCGACAATATGAAACTTATTTATGCCACATGTGGCGCTCGAGGCATGGGAACGCGGGCTCGCAGTCGCGGGATGCTTGCGGGCCGTGTGTCTGAGACCAAATACCATCAGGAATATCCTGGCCCCGTAAAAGTGCCACACTTAACTGCTCCATTTTGCTCAACACGTGCAAAGCTCCGTTGCAGTTGCTCAACATTTCACTCTGTGCCTAGCAGACAGCCTTGCGTAGGACTTGGCTGTGCTGCCATCTGGTGGCACATATGAGAAACTGGGACAAAACTATTGCGCCTGCAGCAGCATCATTACTCAACCTAAACCTTCGAAGACCGTGACTATGATTACGCAGATTGAAGGGGATGGGCAGGAGTGCAACTGTTTCCCCCAAGAGCTTCAAAATCAACATAAAATCAACATATTTAAAAAAAAATAAGGAATACACCAGCGTTTCATGGAAGAAATGCCGTTTTTGGCAAAATGGCAAATGTAAGGGTAATGGTTCGTCCACGACGTCACATCCGTCCACAACATAGAATCTCTGCAGATCCCCCCTAGCCTAACCTGTAATCCACTCCCGCCAAATACCCTAGGCTATAGATCCAGATGTGTTATGCAGTGTTTGGATTGATTGAGTGACCCTCTACAACGGTGAAAGCAAAATCCGAGGTGGGACTACCATATAGCATTGTATAAAAAACAAATTCACTCGTAAAAGTTCTAGCACAAATTACATGTCATGTCTGACTACAATTAGAATAATAACTGAAGAATGCAGTGCACAGCAGGACTCGCTTCTCATCAACAACACCACGTGCACCATGTTGCTTACCGTGATTGCTTCATCAAGGGGATCAGCGCGCGATTTTTGCGAGGAACATTCTTCCTCGCTAGACCTGCAGTTCAATGTAAAGCAAAAGAAAAATTGGTGGTAACATTGTAAATGACTCAATTTCTGCAAAATGCCAATTTTTGTCAATTTTGCAAATTGAGTACATTTGCAAAAAAACAATTGGTCCTGTGAAAAGCAATTAAGCAAAACTGGCAACGTTCTGAAAACTGTTGAGAAGCTTTGTTCCATTCAACATCAATTTGTGAAAACACATTGTGACTGTGTGTAGGTTCAATCGACAGTATCTTGGAGATTGAACGAGACCCAAGCCGGAACGCATGTTTACTTCAGCAACTTCATCAACATTTTCTGTCAAGGTATAGCCCGATCGCACAGCGTGCCAACACCTCTGCAAATCCTCAAAGGATCTTGCTTTTATTCACCTACACAAAAGAGCCCCTATGGTCCCATGTGCATCAAATGGTCTCTGGGTTGTGGGGATTGGCTGCAGTTCTTACCAGTAGTTCAAAGTAGTGGAGTATTAACACTGTGCAAGGGCAACTGCCATAAGAAAATCTGCTACACTAAGAAGGAGCTTTCTTGCTTCTTTTTTATGAGCTCACAACCACAGTGACGCCACTCCCAAGCGCGATTGGAGGGCACTAGACGACTCATTGCAGCAGGCCACTTGTCATTCTTCATCAAATGAACTTGGAATAAAGTTCGAAGAACAGCAAACGCTCTATTAGAGAAACGTTTCGGGAAAAGACTCGAACAAGAGAAGTCCATTCCCGAAATTCCCTAGGTTTATAACTTCCTCGGTGAGCAGTGTTTGTAGAGCACCGAGGAGAGAGACCGGGGACAGTGCCAGCCAAACCCGTCAAACAAAGGAAACACCAATGCTAATCCGCCTCTTTTCCAAAAGCCTGCCACAATGCGCACTGGCTTGGGCTGGTTCACATGTCACAAAATATTACAAAGCTCTTGCTGGGGTCAAATACACCAAATATAGAGCTCACGCAAAACAAAAAAGAGGCTGTCTCAGTAACCCAATGCTGCTTTTAGATTCACAAATGAGTGGCACCAACGTGGATGGGCAATTTTAATTAACGAATAAAAAAAGAACCGACAGAGGGTTTTTGCGGCTTCGGAGCCTGGTGGGCAAAGGTAAATACCACCTGTTCAAAGCACAAGCATAAAGAACAATGCGCGTAGCTGTCAAACAACTGAGCCGATGCTCTTGAGACAAAGGGTCCTCCCACCATTTATAAGCAGTGACTGGAGTACTGGCGATGCTTACCCGAAGCACGGGACTGATGCCCCCTTTTTTGCCGCCTCCTGTACTTCCTCCAGGATCAAAGCCTACAAAAAATGTTCCACGCGCATGTACATCACGCGCATTTAAAGCAGATCAGACCTCAGCTTACCACTGGCTTTGCTCCGGCCTCCTGGACCACGTCTTTTAGCCTGAAATGTATGGGTAGAATCTAGCAACACTTTCTCGAAACCAGAGTGCAGTTTCTCATCACAAGCAGTCCGAGCCACCGTTCTTATTCAACTAAATGCTCCAAGCATGAAGCATGCCCCTTACAGCTCTCCCAACAGTGCTAGGGGTAGCTGTGTGCACCTTTGTGGACAGGCCACATCAAGGCTCAAACATTAAGACCTTCCCTGAAAGGAAATTTTAGGAACTCAACTATAACAAGAAAGTTATAAATTGGCAAGCAAGCATTGTTCCACATATTGATTTGCTTCAATAGCTTAACTGATCAGACATGTTCGAGCAAAAGGCCAATGAAAAAAGCAAATTTTCTGAAACACAATTTAAAAAAACAAACAAAAAAACCGGAACAATGAACTAAGCTGTAGTTTGTACATTGTGGCAACCATAATATCTTCCTTTAAGGAAACATGAAACTATTTCATCTGGCTAACTTGTACTCGGAATAAACACTATATCCATGAAGCATGCAAAAGGCATCAGTTCTGTTTACATACACAAATTTTTGCAATGAATAAATTTATGATGCCAGCGTGTCTTTTCCTCAACTACCCATTTTCCCACCTACCGGATAAAGGCATTACTGCCGAGATTGGTTATAACGAAGTCGGTTATAACAAAATAGCGGTTACATCGAAGCGATCACGATTTCCCATTCCCTTTTGCACTTCGTTAAGCAAAGTCGGTTATAGCGAAATAGTTGATATAGCGAAGTGAGTTTTGATTTTCGTTGACTTCGTTATAACCGGTCTCGACGGTATAGCCTACAGCTAGACCTTCCCTGAGGCTAGGCAACACCTTAGATCTTCCAGTGTTTATTTATAACAAAAAAAATCAACCAAGGTTTTTCTGTGCTCATTTTTTATAAATAAGTGCATTTCGGCAATTTGTTTCATACATGCACCGAAAAAAGTGATTGCCGGTGAAAATATCCAATGAAAGCTAAGCAGGCACGTAGCCAGGATTTTGTTTCGGGGGTGGCCCGCCCATGACAAAATGCTGTATGAGGGGGAAAGGGGAGAGAAGGTCCCAGCAAAATGTAAGATTTTGGGGGGGGGGGGGGGGAACCAGGCCCCATGGGCCACCCCTCTGACTACGTGCCTGAAGCTAAGAGTTTGAATTGCATTTACGATTTGCATACACCACCACACCTTCCATAATTTGACAGCACTCGCGACCGACGTACGAGCCAGAACGATGGTCAAAGTCTGACAACTCAAACATGAGGAAGATACATAGAAAGGGGGACGGACAACAATAAATGTTACCAACACGCTCGTTTTGTACTTAAATTGAGCACTCATTAACGTAATCATTTGGAGCTTTTTATTTACTTTGTATCGTGCTAGCCTTCTCAATGCGATAAAAATTTAATTATCCTCGAATAAAATGCTTTGCGAGCAGGGCAAGTTGTTATCGTTTCTTTCGCAAGATCTAACCGATAACGACCGCCAGTGCAGTTTTGAACACTGTTGTCCAGCTTTGACCTGCACAGGACAAAGGCACAGTGACAATCAGCGGCGACCGACTAGCTCATCTAACCCTCATGCAACTATCCTCCTAGGTCAGCAATTCCAGAAACTGAGGAATAGTAGGGTCCCTGATTCTGGTTAAGAGCATGTACCAGACTAATGTCTACTAAAGGAGGATTTCGACAAAAAACGATTTTCCCTTAAAGCAAACATTTTCAGAAATCTGTGTTCTTCGATTTTAACCAATTTTGTATTGTTGACAAGAGTGCACGTTTATCGGTGTCTTTTGGTAAAGAATAGAAAGTCCACAGCCTAAATATAAACAATTTATGAAGTTTAATGCAAAAAAAAGTGAAAGCCGCTTACAACTCCCCGTAACGCCGAATTGGAGCGCAGCTCTTGAGGAGGAGGAGGGAAGAGTACTAAGGGGAGGGTAGACCCCTCCTCCTCCTCCCCTCATTCTTTAATATGCTCTGGGGGGTTACCTGACCTCGGGAGGAGGGGTCACGTGACCTCGGGGGGGGGTGTCACGTGACTTTGGGGGGGGGGGGGGGGAGCCACGTGACCTTGTGATGACCTTGGGGGTCACATGACCTTGGGGTGACCTTGGGAGAGGTCACGTGACCTCGGGGGTCATGTGACCTTGGGGGGGTCACGTGACCTTGGGGGTCACATGACCTTAGGGGGTCACATGACCTTGGGGGGTAACGTGACCTTGGTTATGCCGACACCGCTCAAGCCGGAAGCGGGTACCTAAGAGCTGCGCTCTAAAAGAAAAGACAATGGTCCTCTCCGATATCCATGCTATCGAAAAGCTACCGCCATCCGTGCAGATTGTATTACGGCTCCATTGCGTTGCTTAGAACCCTGCATTAGCAAGATCTCAAGCATTCCTGTAGAAACTAAAGGTGAAGGAACCGTGTGTACTGAAGACAATGAAAAGGATAGCCAACTGGCCACTTGCTCAACACGCCATAATAGACGGCCCTCCTTTCTATTCCTGTCGGCCTCCCACAAATATTATTTCACTATATTTTGGTGCCGAAACCCGGGATAAGGTATCCGCAGCCGCTACCGACCGGAATCTTTGACTACAGACTGGGCCAGGTCTGGCACGAGTTCTCAAAAGAAGATGGAATATGTCAAGTCCAAGCGAAACATTCTTCCAACTCGGGCGACAAAGGTGACGAATGGCGCCGAGAGCGCTTGCCAGCAAGGTTCTCGAGCTGCCAGCAGTAAACTCATCATTATGGTAAGACTTTGAGACATCCAGAAAAAATTGTCGGATACAGATGGCGAGCTGAACGAGCTCCTATAGCCCACTGAACTCTGAATAAAATTCACTACTGCATGTGACTACAACAATCGTCTTGTGACAAGCGTCACAAGGTAAAAATTCCTGTAGAGAGACAGGCATCTGCCGCTGCCTTCCCGACAATTCCAACAATCCATGCCAAGGGTCCATTCGAGAATTCAGTCAACAAGGCCACAAAAGGTGCAAGAGCCGCCAAACTCGAGCCAACATATTTTGATGGTGCTAGAAACAAGTGGCAAGCCTCTGGTCACAGTTTGAGAGTACTATTCACAGCGACATAGACCTAGTCATCGAGGACAAGTTCTATCTGACCAGATTTTTTAAAGGTGAAGCAAGAGGAGCCACCGCCAGACTCTGACTGACAGAACAATGCCACAATGATGCTAGAGACCAGGGGTGGCCAAACTGCAGCACGCGAGCTGCGTGCGGCTCTTTACGGGTCCAGGCTTTATATGTATAGCGTGGTACAAGGCTTTGCAGCCTTGTACCACGCTATACATATAAAGCAGGACTGCTTTTTGACACATAAATGTGTCCTGTGAGCCCGTTTCTTTTATTGTTCCAGAAATAAATTTGAACCGTACAAGCATGATGGGCGTCAGGGACAGTGGCTCGGTAGAGAACCATGCATTCATTTTTGCTTAGCGGTTGAAGAAACATTCTGCTGCCTGGTGTAACTCAACAATTACCCCGTTTGGAAAGGACCACTCCCTCCACATTGCTTCTCGTTAAATGTAGCCTCCCTTTTTGTTTTCCTGCGGCTCTCTGAACTTTTGAATTTTGTCTGCAGCCCTAACTACATATCACTCTGGCCACCCCTGCTATAAACACTCTGCAAGAAAGGTATACATCTTTAGAAACTTCTAGACATACAATCAGTGATGTGATTGGCCTAAGCCGTTTTGGAGCACCTTTCGGAGCAGCCAAAACAGCGTTTTAGAGCAGCAAAAATGGCCTTTGGTGCAGCCAAAAGAGTGTTCTGGAGCAGCAAAAGTGGCTTTTCGAGCAGATATTCTTAGAGAAATAAAAATATTCATTTCAAGTGGTGGTCGACAAACAAAGGACACTTTGCTCGCCGCAATAAACCAATTGCCAATGACATGACAATTGAAATGCCAATGACATGACACATTTTGCAATGCTTCAGTTAAAGTATACATATGTACCCGCTATAGGTAAATAAGAACCAAAGTGCACATATTAAAATTTATTTGAAGATGACCAGATTAGTATTAAATATCACAGCATTAGGTTGACTAGTAATATAATAAATGAAAGTAGTCTCCAACTGATGAAAAAATAAAAAAAATTGCAGTGGCTTAGCTCGGCCATGCCAGGATATACGTAGCGTCAGCTTATGCGCACAAAATGAGAGGCGCTATCAAGCGGCTCCGGTGCAGCGTCAGACTTGGCTACAGCGCACCGGAGGTGCACAGCTGGGCACGCGGTGGAGCCAGTGCGTCTGCCGCGGCTATGATATCACTCCTCTGGAATGCGCAGACCGGCGAGGCGGGCGCAGCGGCGGCGGCTCCGGCGCGCCAGCTGTGCGCCGTGCGACGTCACTGCTTTTGCGCCAGCACAGCACGGAGCACGGCTCATTATGCGAGCCACGCGAAACTGCTCAACCTCGACCAGTGTAACTCAAGCTACAAAACGTTACTGCCGTGCAATGCGAAATTGTCGCGCGAGCAAAGATGGCTGTTCTATCGAAACCATGTGATCATGCCACTCCGCTCCGTTGCCAACTGGTTCCCAAAATTGTATGCAAAATGGAACTGTCCAGCATAAAACAAAAAAGTCCAGCAGCACGTGCTTGCCAGGCCCGCAGGCAGTGTACAAGCTAAACACACAAAAAAAGGAGAACATGAGCGCATCGATGCAAAGCATTGCGAGCCAGGGTCAAAAAGTTCCTTGAACGCTTTGTGCAATGACTGAACTCTAGACAAACAAGCTCGCTGTGCGGGTTCAGCGTGCAGACATTGCCTTCTCTGCTTTAGCTCACTTCTCTTCACCAACTTTCTTTCGCGGCAGACTTTTCACCTATCGAGGTCCGTCTCAAAGGAAAGCCTACCTAGAGAAACCTAGGAAATCAATACTTCGACACAGGAGTCTTTGAGCTAAAGGGATTTTTGTAGTAGCGTATTGAACATACGGCAGTCCTTACGTTTAGAAAGCACCATATCCAACGTCCCCAAGTCGTATCTGCAGCGACCCGACGTCGCGCGACCATGGTGACTGGCAGGCAGGGACCAAATATAGCTTGGCCACAGCCCTTATTTTTAGGAGTGGGTGCTTTAGCTCATAAAGTAACTCCTGCCGCGCAAAAACATAGTTTCGTTTCACAGCATAATGGCATGGCTGGTACCCAGCACGCTAGCGTCGGAGCGTCCGCACACGCCGGCGTCTATCGTTGAAAAAAGTTGAAAAAGACGCGAGACAAGAGACGGCGGGAAAAACCATGCAAGACCAGATGAATGCTTGATGCTGAGTACTTTGTGTCGGGCGGCCACTTGCGCCACCTAGCTCATGTGTGCTCAATTACGGAACTCAGTTTAGTTTCAGTTTTCAAAGGCGACCAAAATTGGTCATGGATGAAGAAAGAATAAAACAATTAAAACAGGGACAACACAACCACATCTTTCAAGTAGCAACAGACGAGTAAACTTTCAAAAGCGAGCAGCCGGCTATACCCAGTAGGAGTAGGGCAGAGAAGGGGGAGAGAAGGAAAGATAAGAAACGCGAAGTGCAAGTCAGGGTGGTAGGGTTATCTCGGATTTTAAAAATTCAACCTCAGTTTTCGTCAGCAGGGGGGACGGGTTTGACACGTTGTTTGTTGCTGTGGTCATGGCGAATGATTCTATGATTTCCCTGCCAAATCTGCTGTCATGCCCCCCCAGGATTTTTGTGTCATCAAAGAGGGGATGACAACGCAAACACGAACGGGCATGTATGACTATGGGATGACAAGAATCTGGAGAGGCCTTAGAAACTTTGTTGTGATGTTCGCGGAGTCTGTGATTGGTGCGTCTGCCGGTTTGTCCTATGTATTGATGGCCGCAGCTCAAGGGTATGGAGTAAACTTTCTTCTCTTTGCATGAAACAAATTTCTTTTCGTGTTTGACAGTGCAGCCAATCGGAATCCAGTTGTTGTTCACTTGTTGGCAGAGTTGTTTAAGATGCATGCGGCACGAGAAGACAACATTCGTGTTGGCCTCCAGATAGCATTACACCTGTTTTTTCCGATTGTTCGTCAGGCCTTACAGTCACGAAGGAAGAACCATAGAATGAAGGCCTTCAGTACCTAGATTTGCGGCTTCATGTCAGTGCCACTGGACTCCGCTGGGCCTTTCAACAAAGGTCTGCCAAACCTGTCTTACCGTTTTCTAGCGCCCATTCGAAGTCGGTAAAACACGGTATCATCAAATCGTTGTTTTCTTCATCCTTCACGAAGTCTTGCTGTCATCTTTCAGAAGATAGCTTCAAATTGCAGCACATGAGGCTCGTCAGGGCAGGGTTTCCCGTCGACCTTCTCCGATCTGTAATGGAAAGGATGATTCGCGGGCCTGATCGCCAGTCACCAGCCACAAAAAAGAAAGCCCGATTCGCCGTCATTCCTTACGTACACTATTCAGCCCACCGGATAAAATCCATCGCCTCAAAGTTCAACACGAATGTTGTCTTCTCGTGCCGCATGCGTCTTAAACAACTCTGCCAACAAGTGAACAACAACCGGATTCCGATTGGCTGCACTGTCAAACATGAAAAGAAATTTGTTTCATGCAATGAGAAGAAAGTTTACTCCATCCCCTTGAGCTGCGGTCATCAATACATAGGACAGACCGGCAGACGCACCAATCACAGACTCCGCGAACATCACAACGAAGTTTCTAAGGCCTCTCCAGATTCTTATCATCCCATAGTCATACATGCCCGTTCGTGTCTGCGTTGTCATCCCCTCTTTGATGACACAAAAATCCTGGGGGGGCATGACAGCAGATTCGGCAGGGAAATCATAAAATCATTCGCCATGACCACAGAAAAAAACAGCGTGTCAAACCCTTCCCTCCTGCTGACGAAAACTGAGGTTGAATTTTTAAAATCCGAGATAACCCTACCCCCCTGACTTGCACTTTGCGTTTCTTATCTTTCCTTCTCTCCCCCTTCTCTCCCCTACTCCTACTGGGTATAGTCGGCTGCTCGCTTTTGAAAGTTTACTCGTCTGCTGCTAGTTGAAAGATGTGGTTGTGATGTCCCTGTTTTAATTGTTTTATTCTTTCTTCATCCATGACTTAAACCAACACGCTCTTCTCCCAAGCAAAATTGGTCCTTTGGCGCAGATCACCCACACTTTGGTAAAATGTAGCAGGACGTAGCAGGGTTAGCTCCTTGGCGCAGTTTGGCGCAGCAATCACATCACTGGTTACACTCCATCAAGTGTACAGACGACATCCAAGAAGATGAATGTCGTCTGTACGTGACGGCTTTTTATGTTCATAAAGCCTTCCCCTTGTGCCGGCCAAAGGAGAAGCGAGGAGAGACCCTAGAAATGCTATGCATTGAGAGCGTCTTTAAAAAGTGCCAAAGAGACGGTAAATTTTTTTGTCAGCAAAACTCGCTAGACGTTTGTCCAATGAGAGGGCAACAACATGGCCGGTAAGGAACAGCACCACCTCTCTTCCAGCAGGGCCGAAGTCTGCTCAATCCTCCGCACAACCTGGTCGGCCGTCTCGTCAAACTGCCTCAGTCGTGCAGCCTTCCCTTCCATGCGTCCGAGTAGCAACCTGTGGTCTGTCCAGGGCAGAAGGGTCGCTCGCTGTCAAAGGCACTACTGAAGGCTATTCAAATTCGGTGCACCACATGAGCCTTGCACCTTTTGAACGAGAAGAGTCATCTTTCTCAAAGGCAATTTGCCTTTAAAAGCACCAAACCGGGGCATTAAAGTGAAGCCGGATTAGCATTTTACCAAATTCACTGCATTGTGTGTATGTTTAAATAGCCGGAAGCTAGTTGTTCCCAATGGGCGTCCAGTGTGCGACACTGTAGACCTAACATGTAGCCAGTGCAGCACCACAGCCAGCCTGGGGTCTTGCTTCACACAGCACGCCGGTACAATGCTCATTGGATCGAAATGGGCAGCAGTGGCAACTGCACCGAGGATCTATGTGCATCATAAACCATTGCTTCACAGGCTCCTAGCTGCAGCGCAAGCAAACTTGGCTACCGAGCCCCTCTCCCCCAGAATTTTACAAATCAGTTTTAAAATACCACCTCCTCTCCCTGCACATTGGCACGGACCATGCCCTCCACTTTATGCTGAAACTTTATTTGGGGCTTCATCAGAAATTCGAGCATGCTACTGCATGCTAACATTTGAATCTACAGAAACAGACGAGACTGACCTGCTGTCGAGACGTTTGCCAAAAACGTAGCAATCCCTCATTCTTTTAACTGTTACATTTCTCGCATTCATCAAAACCCTGTGCACAGAAAATTAACCTAGTCGTGCCCTTACAAAAGCACAAAGCTACTAACACAATGTGACTCTACTTGAGCGGTTTGGTTGGCTGTCGAAATGATAAATGTGTTCAGAATGGGGCAAGTTAGTGTAGACCAAGAGCAGAAATGACTAGAAAAATTCTCGGGACCGTATCCTTGAACTAAGGACATGGTCCCGAGCATTTTTCTGGTCCCATTTTTACTCCTGGTCTTCACTAACATGCCCCATTCTGAATGCATTTATAATGTGTTTGAGCACCAAATTTTGCACATTACCACCACCAGGGTATTATTTGTACCGACAGAACTGGAGGGTAACACCCAGCAGTTCTGTCGGTGGATTGAAGTGGACTACAAAATTCACTCTTGAAGAGCAAACAACGACAGCTGTGTTCTCTGTAATGACCAGCCAAGACTCAAACGTCAGCTGCATTAACTCCCACCTCAATACCAACGATTTCAGGCTTAATGCAAGACCTGTGCCTTTTAGAAGGATGTTGAATGGGGCAACTTTTCTGGCTGTTCCAGGGTTGCAGACGAGCTGTTTGGTCATTGCAAAACAAACCACCGGGATCAATACGAACCACAACAGAAGAAACTCGCTGCTGCAATTATGAAACATTTGAGGCAAGAGGCACTTTGATCTTATAAAAGATCCGACTTTGTGCATTAAAGGGAAACTGAAGCGGATCTGTGTTTGAGGAAAAAGACTTAAATCATCTTCGTTCGCCTCCAGGATCACGACTATCAAAATTATATTTCAAATTGATGCGCCAAGAAGCCAGAATAGCACATCCAAAATACCGCTGAAGCCCCTCCTACCCGGCACATTCGATGGGAGGAGAGAAATGTGACGTAATGCACAGAGATCTGTAAAGTCGCAAGCACTGCAAGCATTCCCTTACCAACAGTCCAAAGCACAAGTTAGCTGAAACAAACCTTACTAGATTAGCTCAATTAGGGAACTGCCCTTAGATGCTCTTGCACAAGCAGTACCACCCTCTCTGCCCCCATGGCTCGCGTCCCGTCCGAGGATTGCTTCTATGGTAACTGCAGTGTATTCTATGGATGGCATATGTCATGATGGCTGGCATTCCACCATGCTCTATAGCAGTGGATCTCAAGCATGGACGTGTCCGGGACCCCTCGAACTAGCTGCAGTCTGAGGTGGGCATTTTTTTAGCTGTTATAAACAGAAGTGAGAAGCATCAATTAAAACTATGGATGGGTGGATAGATTGTAACCAGAGCCGTGTATAGAGAGAGTTTGGTCAATGGGAGGCGTGGGCAGAGGCAGGGCATGCACTGACGCAGAAACAGGGCTTGACATGCTCTCTTGGTCAACCAGAAGCCGAAAAGAATCCTCTAGCAGCGGTAGCGAGAAACAGCTGAAATCGTAAGTATATGGTTTTAATAAGCGCATAAGAGTTATACAGTAACCCTTCATGGTTGAAAATAGGGTGCATGTGATGTTTCGATTACGATCATGCAGAAAGATGTAAGAAACGAATGTGCCGCTTAACTCTGTTTTGCTCGGACAGAGTTTAACCGCTCAGACGGCAGATTTCCGGCTCTCAGTGCCTGGCATACGGATTATGTTAATCGTTCTGCTAGTCACACTCTTCCACCATGATTTTGGATGACCGTGATTGAAACATCACGTGCACCATATTTTCGGCTACCAAGAGTTACTCCTATGCACTTTTAAGTTTGTTTTTCGTGACCACTGCCAGGTTATTAATTCCGGCTTCTGGTTGGCCATATTCGAATTTGTGAAGACGCCCCGGAACACGCCCAGCCCGCTTTCGGCCAATGGCGCCTCCTGATTTGCCTCCTATACTTCCCGATTATTTCCGCCTTCTGGTTGGTCACATTCAAATTTGTGAAGACGAGCTGGAACAAGTCCAGCCCGCTTTCGGCCAATGGCGCCTCCTGAATTGTCTCCTATACTTCCCAATGAATGACCAAACTCTACATATACGACTCGGATTGTAACGGCTTTACCCTTTATAGCGGGCGGTAGCTTGCACCACCTAGCCAGGGATAACAAAGAACAATATACTTTTTTAGAACAGAGGGGTGCGAGTTAAAGTTGAGGCGTGGGCTTTGCGGACCCCAAAAATGGCTCCATGGACCCTGTCGGGTCTGCGGAACCCCATCTCAGAACCACCGCTCTATAGAATGCACAGTTCTGCAACAACAATCTAGACGGCGCATCAAACAACGGGAGGCGGACTGATGTAAACGAGGTGGGGGGGGGGGGGGGGGGGGGAGGGGGGGGAGATGCCCCCCTTTGCGGGAGTTCTACAACTGAGGTAATCTAGTAATGTTGGCTGAAGCCTCCGGGTATGACATCACACCCGGTGATTGGTTTTCTTGGTTTTTCTCGCTTCTCTTAATATGTTACCGGTGAAATTTTTGCGATATTCATATTCTCAGAGTGAAAAAAAGCCATAAATCACTGCTGGCTCGTCTCCTCTTCAGCATCTCCTATGCCATTTAAATATATAGGTTAGCATAAGTTTGCGCCCAGAGTGCGAGAGGGCTGCACTTTCAATGATGACGAATGTTGCGTCGGTGAGGAAAAACGTTCTTGTCACGTAGTCACATATTGTTTATTAACAGGTTAGGTTACATGTTGAGACCTCATGGCGGTTGCATGGAGCAAGAGAAAAAAAGAGTAATGGCGCGGCGTGCGCGGGAAGTCCACCGGAAGACGCTGGCCCCCTGGTGGCGAAATACAGATATGCAGCACTCCCCCACACTAGCTATAAGTCCATCCGGTCTGGTGCCTTGCGTGTTCGCACAGAGCGTCGTAGTGGGGTAGATCGAATTTCAGTTCGGCTGTCCGGTATACTGTCGAAAAGGCTCGGGTCCGGTGGCCAATCCACAGAAGTCTCTGGAACAGTAGAGCCATGGTGTCGGGGGCGCAACTGGTCGATGTGGCGCCTCATTGAGCCGTGGTGGGTCTCCACTATAGCCATACGGTTTCCCAAAACCTTCGAGATGACTCCCGGCACACAACGCTCACCAACTCCGTAGTTCTTTGCGAACACAAGATTCCCTTCTTTGAGGTTGCAGAGTCCTTCTGTGTCGTCCTTTGGCTCGCTGGTGGTCATGGTGGCGAGGTCCGTGCGAACTTTCGGGCCAAAGCCGAGCATCAGCTCTGCTGGAGATCGGCCTCGGGTGGCCGACGGAGTGCGACGATGCACAAGCAGCCATCTTGCCAAACGTGTGGCGAGGGAACCTCCCGAGAGTTTCTTCAAGCCATCCTTGACCGTCCTTACAGCTCTCTCTGCAAGCCCATTCGATTGTGGATGATACGGTGCAGTCCTTAAATGGCGGATACTGTTCAGGGATTGAACTCGTTAAATTGTGATCCAGTGAATGGTGTTCCATTGTCGGACACCAGGCAAACAGGCAGTCCGAAACGGGCAAACAGACTTCTCAGGTGATCAACTGTTGCTGCTGAAGTTGCGGCTGGTGTTGGTAGTGCTTCAATCCAGCCTGAGTAGCTGTCAACCACGATGAGCACCATGGTACCATCAATAGGTCCTGCGTAATCGACATGAATTCTTGTCCAAGGTGTAGTGGTTGCTGGCCAGGCTAGTGGTTCTACTGCTGATGGCATCGGTGCAGCCTGTTGACACACTGTGCAAGCTCGCAGAGCATCTTCGATTGCATGATCAATACCTGGCCACCAGAGTATTGACCGTGCGAGTGCTTTTGTCGCGTTAATACCCATGTGTGTGTCATGGAGCTCCTGTAGGAAAGCGTCTCGTGCTTTCTCGGGGATAACCACTCTCTCCCCCCTGCGGATGAGAAGACCGTCCAAGGAGAAGGTGTGTCTCTGCGGCCAGAATGGCTGAAGAACTGGATCTTGAAGTTTCCTTGGCCAACCTTTCTTAATGATCTCTCGAGGTGCCACAAGCACAGGGTCCTTCGTTGTAAGATCTAGCTGCTTCCGAGAAACTGGATCGGTGTCCAAGATGTCGAGGGCATGCACTCCCTGTAATCTGTTGTCTTCAGTTCTTGGCTGGTCATGTGGGAGTGGTAAACGACTTAACGCATCTGCATTTTGGTTTGCTTGCCCAGGCTTGTATTGAATCCTGTAACTGTACGCCCCAAGCGTGAGTGCCCAGCGCTGGATTCTGGCAGCTGCGGTGCTTGGTGTTGCTTTGGTTTCTTTGAAAAGCCCTACCAAGGGTTCATGATCAGTTTTAAGCGTGAAAGTTCTACCATGCAAGTAGTCACGAAACTTGGTTACTCCAAAAATTAGTGCCAGGGCCTCTT